GCTAACAAATAATTTAGAGCTAAATCTTATCCTATTTAGTGACCTAAAGTAGTGCAGTACCTCAGGTCAAAATCTGAATTGCTTTATTCACACAGGTCAATGCTCCAGCAGATTAAAACCATTTGGATTTTGCTCCACCTAGTGGTAGACCTGAGATACTGCACTCCTTTAGGTCACTGAATAGGAAAAGATTTAGGTCCTCGTTTTTTATCAATCTACACGTTTACAATATCTTTAAATTAGAGGGATAGTTTCTTTTTTTTTTTTTTTTTACGTTACCAGGTAGCACTAGCTCCTTTCTGAGAGTTTGTGCTTATTTTTTTTTCATTGTAAACCAAGATTTTTTTATTAAAGCTTGTATTTAATGACAATCAGAGAACGAAATGAATGATATAGGTATGACTTCAGGAGTTTGTGCATTTTTCTCCTTTGTGACATGTAGGTCCTAGGACATTCCTGGTGTGTCTCACTGCTGTACTGGTTTTACATTTTCTGCAAAACCGGTAATTTTTTTTCTTTTCTTTTTTTTTTCCTGATACATGTATTATGGAAAATAATACGATGTCAGGGTTCAGGAGTCATTCATACACAAGCTTTCCTTCAGTTTTATTGTTTAATATTATATCTGCAAAACTCCTTGGCAGTATTACATTACCATAATAACACTTCATTTTTATGTATGCAGGAAATATTGTAGCCCATGGAGCAGCGCACTGGAATGGGCCTTGACATTGCTAGGAGACAGGCATAGGAGGTGTTAATGTGGGGGTATGGCTATAGAAAGTGGGGGTGGGGTTTTAGATTATGGGAGTACATAAAGCGGCCATTTTAGATCAAGGGCCATCTTAATTAATCCTCACTGTACCTGTTTTGTGGCAGGTCTGTGTGGTGTCTCGTTTTTCTGTCTTTCAGGTGCCGCTGTCTTGAAGACTGGGAGATTGGCTGGTTGGTGTGCGTGCAGGGCTGGATTAACATAGGGGCTGATGGAGCTGCAGCTCCAGGCCCAGGCCCATGGAATAGGCCCATTTTAAAAAAATATATATATATTTTTTTAATTTTTTATTTTTTTTACACACTACTCCACTACTCTGCCAACTGACTGGTATTTTACTGGCACAGTCGGTATTTGAGGCTGCCTGGCCGTGCCGGTATTGCAGTAATACCGGCAGTACAAATGCAGGTATTTTTCTCAGTATAAACAGGGATTACTCTGCAATATCAACACCAGCCAGCAGGGGTCACTGTGTGTGGAGAAAGGCAGGGATAGGAAGTTACAACATATCCCTGCCTCTCTCTACTACTCACTGATCCGTATGGGAGCAGCTAAACAGCACAGAGAGTCCAGACAGCAGCTCTACAGCTCAGGTAAGTGAGGGATGGGGGAAAGGCAGCAGGGAGACATGGGGACACTGAGACACTAGGGGACACAGACACTTGGGGACACTGGAAAACATGGGAACACTGAGACACTAGGGGATACTGTGAGACTTGGGGATGCTGAGACACATGGGGACGCTGTGTCACCTTGTGTCCCCATGTCCCCCAGCCAGTGTCCCTAGTGGCTGTGTCCACATGGCTCCCAGTTTTCCCTAGTCTCCCAGTGTCTGTGTCCCCATGTCTCTCAGTGTCCCTAGTGACTTAGAGTCCCCATGTCTCCCAGTGTCCCCATGTCTCCCAGCCAGTGTCCTCAGTGTCTCCATGTCTCCCAGTGTCCCCAAGTCTCCTAGTTTCTGTGTTCCCATGTCTCCCAGTGTCCCCATGTCTCCCAGTGTCCCCATGTCTATGTCCATAAGTGTCCCCATGTCTCCCAGTGTTCCCAAGTGTCTGTGTTCCCATGTCTCTTAGTGTCCCTAGTGTCTTAGTGTCCCCAAATGTTTCAGTGTCCCCATGTCTCCCAGTGTCTTTGTCCCCATGTCTCTGTGTCCCTAGTGTCTCAGTGTCCCTATTTCTCCCAGTGTCCCCACATGTCTCAGTGTCCCCAGTATGTATCCCCAGTGTCTCCATGTCTCCCAGTGTCCCCAAGCGTCTCAGTGCCCCCATGTCTCCCAGTGTTCTTGGGTCTCTGTATCCCCATGTCTCACTGTGTCCCTTAGTATCCTAGTGACATGGGGACACACTGAGACATGGGGACACTAGGAGAAATGGGGATGTATGGCAACAAAACCTGTGTGGACTGGACAATAAAATTAGTTTAGGTAATGCAGACTTTGGTTTCTCTAACACTGTGGCATGTCCCCTTTCTTCTACACTCACTACATACAGTACACTCACTACATACACCTACATACACCTCCCAGACTAGATACCAGGAACTTCTGCCTGCTAGTAAGACGACAAGGGGACAAGTGGACATGCGAGTGCAAGGGGACAGTCCTTAAAAAGCGTGGAGTAGAAGCATAATTTGATGCATTTATGTCAAGTTCAGAGTGCTGCCAGCATAGTATGCCCTTAGTTGGACAGCCTGCATAATTGCCAGGCAGCCTGACATGCATTTATGCCAGGCTGGCCTTCCAATTCTTTGAGCAAACATGCCCCCTTTTTCGGCATTTTCACCCCTTTTGGCAGGTCTGGTCACATGATTCGCGTTAGTGGCACACCCTTTTACCCTGCCCATTGACTTCCTGCTTCACTGGACACTGCTGTTGGGGAGTATGGATTTACTTGAAAGATGAAAGCATAAATTAGAAATTAGCACAGAGGTATGGTTTTTTCAGTGTTTTTGGTCGATAAGATTCTGTAATTAGGCACATCATAATTGTCAGCTCCAGGCCCACTAGGCTCTTAATCTGGCCCTGTGTGCGTGCTGAGGTCCAGCAGAGTGGGGGCGCCTGGCTCCATCAACGTTTAGGAGAGGCCCTGGTCCCATCTAGGCCTGCAGCTGCGGGGTCCACCACAACACCCGAGACGAGGCCTGGACGACCGGCTCGGAGGACCCGACCGCCGCAATGTCTGAGCCCTGGAGAAGGTTCTACTGGGCATAGGAGGGTGAGCCCATCGTTGCCAGCTGGGCCAGAGGCAGATGTGGGTGCTGGTTCGGCCCGCAAATCCAGGTTTGCGCATACGGCTATCCAGACGGGACATAGAGATTGCCCTTGCGTTAGTTGCCCAGGCCACGGCAGGGTCGCAGGCTGTGGATAGGCGGGTCTCCCTTCCCCTCGGCAGGTCTCGGGAGCGGAGCATGTCCCCAGGGTCATCTCCCAAGTCACGGTCGGGTCGCCGGTGGAAGGCAGGAGTAACCAGCGGTTACTTGGTGGGCTAAGCTGCCGCTGGGGAGAGGGGGTAACAAGCTTCTCTCCCTTACTCACTTTCAGCCGCTGG